ATTTTATTGATTGCACATGATTTTATCAATGGAAAGTAAAACATTATTCTATTAATTGCAGATGTTTTTATCAATGGAAAGTAAAACATTATTCTATTAATTGCAGATGTTTTTATCAATGGAAAGTAAAACATTATTCTATTAATTGCACATGTTTTTATCAATGGAAAGTAAAACATTATTTTATTGATTGCACATGTTTTTATCAATGGAAAGTAAAACATTATTTTATTGATTGCACATGTTTTTATCAATGGACAGTAAAACATTATTCTATTAATTGCACATGTTTTTATCAATGGAAAATAAAACATTTATTTACTGATTTCAGTTTTAGACAGCATTTTAGACAGTCCTTTGTATGGGTCTGCTATAAATATCTTGTGTTTGATAAGACTGGCAATAGACAAAATAACTATATCACCTTCTTGTGCGTTTTTGAGTGCTGTTGCTTCCCAGTGGCTCAACGGTAAGCTTAAGGGCTTATATCGTTAAAAATCAGGATTCGATACCCGCGGTCGGCTCAACCCATTATATAGCTTTACGCTTAAATATATATATATACACATACACAAATTTCGTTGCTGCTACGAGACGGCATTCTCTCAATATATAACTGTTATGTTTTGTGAATGAACGTCGTATATTAACATGATGCTGGCAGAGGACGGTGAAATCATTTTATCAAATTTATCCTTCCATAGGCAGAAACTTTTCCTCGGAGGATTTTCCGATGGTGTTTATTTCAAGAAAACAAAATGTTTATAGCCGTATCTGTTATTCTTTATAAAAATGTCTTCGCTATTTTGTATGTCTAAGTGCCAGTTTTCGTTGTTAAATGGCTCTAAATGTCCACCGTAGTCAAAAGGTAAAATGTCAGCAGGAATATACTGATGTAGAGATGTAAAGTCGTTTCCATGGATATATATCTGAAACGAAATAACAGTGTGCAAAATATACGCATGAATTACAAAGGCTCGGCAATATGCATTAATTGTACATGAAATTTATTGTAAGACACACACAAAAACTTTTTCGTTCAAGTTACACAATTAATAATAATAATAATAATAATAAAAAGACTCAGCATATATGCAATTTTCCAGAATTAGTCAGAAAAGAAAAAAATATATATTAGTTTATTCTGTCAATCTTACTTTAATTTATTTTGATGGAAAATAGATTAGTTACACATGTATGAGCTCGATGAGTAAACTATACTAAAAGCACGACACTAATTTATTAATGAAAGTATAAGATAAAACTTTTCTTTCTCAACCTTGACCTTCTGCTTCAGGGTACATTCTAAACATAAGTGGTGCCATCTGTTGGTTACCATTTACAATGATGTTGTTAATTACAAAAATACTTAAAAGTTTATTGATCCAATACATTTCTTACATTCTAGAACTGATTCATGATTACAGGTCTGCCAAACGAAGAAGTTGGTTTGATAGTCACGAGATCTGGTTAAAACAATAAAGTATACATTATGAATATCAATCCATTTATATGTAATATATCAGTGGACATAATATACAAAGCTGGTTTTAACGTCAGTAAGCCTGAGAAGAATTACGATTACATTTGTACATTAAAACAAAAATACCAAAAACATAACAAAAACATAGTACCCTATTTTTCAGCTTCTCGCTTAAGAATGGCTTCACGAGGTTGAACAGAACTCCAAAGAGAGTAGGCTCGTTGACAATGTGGATATCTTTAAACCTAGCAGGGAAGCAATCCTGAAAAATAAATGTAATAATATATATATAAATATGTTACTGTTCTTCTGTTATTGACAAATGTGTACTACAGGAGCAAGAAAATTGTTAATATAGCAAACCGTGTTTCTTTGGTCCACTACTCACTCAATGCGCGTTAGTCGTAGGTTTTAGTTTTCTTGTGTATAATTATGACATCGTGTACTTCTAGGCAGTTTTTCTTTTATAAAATTGATTTCCTTAACTTATCAGTTACATTTTGAGTACTTAGCTGTACATAGTAGGCCTATCTTTGATCAGAAATTAATAAAATCATTACTTTGATAGTAAAATGAATATATGTATGTAATGTTATATAATATTGATTTCGCATGGTGAAATACATAATAATAATAATGGCAAGTGTGCGAGCTCAAGCATATGTGTTTTCTTCTTATCCATGTCGATGATTACTCAGAAGATGTCGTTAGTTGTGGCGTAAGAAGCCGGGGTTAATTAACTGGAATAATTTAGCGCCCTCTACAATAACTAACCAAGCGTGCAGAATACTTATAACATAACAAACAGAGGGTTCTTTTCTTTTCTTTCTTCTTGTCTATTTCTTGAAATCACGTGAAGATAAAACAATGGAAATGCCTCATTGTTAGATTTCCACAAATGTGTTCTTGTAATTACTAATTCAACCCTGCCCAGCATTAAATACATAATAATTATTGTCAGGAAAACTAGCACCTCGTGACGAAATTTTTCCGATTTACGAGAAACTGCAAATATATAGTATAGTCGCTCAAAAATTCGAACCATTTCCTCCAATTTCAAAATTATGACTAATTATTCTGATCCTCCATTGTATTTCTGTGTTAAATAATTGTACCCGTTTTGACATATATCTCATTTAAACAGCTCCAATGACATCTCAATTTTAGTCTTTCTATGTATAACCAACTCCTCTAAAAATAAGCTGTTTTATTTGGCTGTCTAAACTGTAAGAGATTACATCACAAGGTAATCTTGACAATTAATTATACAATACATTCGGTGTCCGTAATGATTAGTTATGTATTATTTTGGAGATAAAAATGGATCATGCTTCTGAAGAGTGGTTAAACACTCAGCCCTCGGGAAGCTTCATGGGATCATTGTCCGTAATGTGCAGAGTTCATTAAAAGGTCAGGGCTCATTGACAAAAAGGGCACTTTTCAAGGAACGTAAAGCAAACTTTTTCGGGGGAGGGGGTAGAGTGTTAGAAAAGACAATGGAGGTTGTGGTTTGCATCTGGCACATATAGGATAAAAATTCATAGGAAGCAACCAGACCCTCTTTCACTCCTATTCAATTGGTCTTATAAACACTTTTATGATCTAAAACTAAACAATGTTTTTTTGCGTATTAACACTTAATAGTATATTACATTATTTTTACTGTAAAGGCCTACAAGACCCCGTGTTCATGAGCGTCCGCAGTAATGTTTTCAGTGAGGGGGGGGGGGGGCAAGTATTGTGAAATTGTGAAGTGAAGAAATAAAATTTATATACATATGCTGAATGAGTAAAGAATTGTGTCTCTCAATTTTTCAGGGAGGGAGGTGCCCCCTTGCCAATAAAGGATTGGTGTATGGATGATAATTCTTTAGTTTCTAAGGGTTACTGACTTAGGTTTAGTAAATAACAAGGCCTAGAATTTACACCTAATTTCAGCAAATTTTGATTTACATTTGTAGTCCGTGTTTAAAGTATAAAAATCAATAAATTAGTATACCTTTTTTCGGATTACAAACCTCACACCAGACGCGTAGACTCAATCAGGAATTCGTCATAGCATGTGCATTACATAGACCCATTTGTGAGTACGCAAATCCAAATAACTAATATACAGGGTTCATGATTTTAAAATCGTCTCGTAAACAATCATTTACCTGCACTAAAGCTATAATTCGGCGAGCGTGATTTGGAGTCACCTGGCGGAAGTGACCAAAACCAAAACCTCGAAGATCTAGTATTGCTGCTATACCATGTTTTTGGGTGTCCTCTTCTCCAATAGCTTTTTCTAAACACATCAGGTTGGCTCGAAAAATATCGTCTGCGTCGAATTTACAAGTATTCCAGGAACCTAGGGAAAAAATGTTTTAAATATACTAAAGTTTAAAAAACTTTTCGAGACCAACACAAAGTTCCAGAACAAAATACTAACACGGATCATTTGTGTGTGTGTGTTTAGCGTTTAAATTAATTTAATTTGCCTTTTAAAATCTATCAATATCGTTGATAACGCTAAAAGTATAAACCTGTGTTTGTGTTTTGTATTTATGGGAAGTTACTAAGAGTAGCTAATGACCAGAGAAAGAAAGCAGTCAATCAGCAGCACCCTTCCACCCACCATTCACACGAAGGGATTGACTGTTACTTTTATAACGCAACCATTGCTGAAAATGCTTAGAATATTTTATGGTATAGCACGGATTCAAATCCACGTAAGATAGACTGATGATTATTTATTGTACAGCTTTTGGGCTTACAAACAGACAAACAAACATGCAATCTCGTTACTGGGCTTACAAACAAACATGTAATCTCGTTACTGTAACAACGAAAAAAGTGGAAAATCCCTAAGTAATTGATACGTTTCTATGAAATATTCATAAAATTTACTGAATGTAAAAAATCAAAAAGTGAGGAGGTAAAGATAATCCAGCCCATTATGATCTAAAAACTAATTACTTGGAATATGGAAACTGCCGTTCGAGAGGGAAAAGAAACGACAACATCAAAGGTGCTGCTTATACATGCAAAACAATATCTCTAATTATAGATTATATATATATATATATTAATAACAGTAGTGACATTAAAAAAGCCCTGTGGTTCGGCTTTAAGACATATTATAGCAACATCGTGACAGTAACTTTAGAGTTGAGGTATCCTGAAAATTATATTTTGCGTTGCTTATTTCAGTGTTATTGCTTCAAATTCTAAACAGAATAACAGTTAATATTTTTGCTGTTATTGTTGTTAAACACAAAGTTACACAATGGGCTATCAGTGTTGTGCCCGTTATGGGTATCAAAGTCAGATTTTTGGCGTTATAAGCCCTTAGACCTGCCGCTGAGCCACCGGAGGGCACGCTATCAAATAAGAACATTGGCGAAAGTTATTGGTTTTTAAAGGAAAGCTATCAGTGCTGTGCCCACTATGGGTATCGAAACCAAATTTATAGCGTTATAAGCCCTCAGACTTACACTTGAACCATTAGGGGCTAACAAAGCTAATACAGGAGAAGTTATCTTTAAGACAGTCCGTACTTAAAGAATAATACCGATATACTTTGCTTGCTTCGGGTGTTCGCGCAAAACAACAAAAGGTTTATTTCTTTTAGCGCAAAGCTACACAATAGGCTATTTGGTCTCTGTACACCAGATTTTAGCGTTATAAGTCCGTAAACTTACGACTAACCAACTGGAAGTCCACTGCAAAACGACTATCTGCACTAGTTGTCCCTAACTGTTAACTGACGGACTATAGGGAACGCAGCTAGTCAACAGCCTCCAATTATTGCGCTACTTTAATCAACTAACAAAGTTTTGAGCATCATTCATATAACATCCCAGCGTTCCCAAAGTGGGAGCGCATTTTTTCAGCAACGGGACGCGAACCTTGCGCACAAGATTCACAGTCCGACACGAAAACCAGTAGTTCATACCCGATCCTTGCCGATGGAAGACCGAGCCTGTCTTATATAGCCGAGCATCGAAGCATGCAGAATTCTAATATACGGGAAAAATTAGAAGTGTGTATTGAAGTAGACGACTGCATGATGGGTAAACTGGAATGGACGGCAATTGTCTGTTGTAAAAAAAAAAAAAATGTAGAGGGCGGTATTTCAAAAGTGTTCCGTTTTCAACAGTTGTCGTCCATCATGAATACTCTGCCTAAACAATCTATTACAGAATAGACGGCATGTTAAGAGGGACAATACTGTTTCACTTACTCGTTTTGAAGACAAAAATTGCTGCACCAGATGGAGTTCGATGAGGTAATATTCCTTGAATGTTGTCACTGAAAACTTCTTTCACTGCCGAAGGTACAAAATCTTGAAAAAGTACCGGGTTATCTACGCGTAATCTGTAATATTTCTGCAGTAAATGTAAAGCTCGATCGGGATCAAACTTTCTTGAACGAAGAAACTTCAGAAGGAATTCATCATCGAGCGGAATCACGAGGTCAGGGTCGCCTACAAGATATATATATAACTGATCTTTATTTTGGTTTAATTGCTCAAGACAACAGTAATAATATGAAAAACGCTTAGGAAATGGTAGGCATCCTTATCCTTCCTCTTAAGCAACTACTGCCCTTTTGATATGGTACCCCCTGTTGGACAATGCTGAAATCATCACCCGTTATTCCCTGGTGGTCACCAACATTCGGTGTTTACGGAGATCGGACGAGACCAGGATTATGCTTAGAGCATCCAAGGATACTTCATCCTATACGCATGTCATCAATGTGTTAAAAATTATCCCCCCAAATCACCACCTCCCCCCCCACCACACACACGTAAGTAGTAAGTATATAATCTAATACTA